GCCACAACACGGCACAAACAGCACCTCACTGGCCTCCCATCCCATCCGCGCCACAACACGGCACAAACAGCACCTCACTGGCCTCCCATCCCATCCGCGCCACAACACTGCACAAACAGCACCTCACTGGAGCACTTGTGTCTCTTATTTATTTTCACCTCGGGTATTTTCCCTCGGTCTGATGTTTCCTCTGGACCAAAGGCCCTCAAATTAAGTTTACAAGCCCAACAAAGTGACTTCCGTTTAAGGGAAGACTGACTCTCAATTTTTGCATCAATGAAAATTCCTTGTTTAAATTTTTAGCCTAAGGATCATTATTGAATGTGTCCCTGTCCCCTGTCCCTTCGTCTCAGCTATCAATGTGCCAGAGGGACTTCATTAGAATATTTCGGCAAATAGTGATCGAGGCAGAGAGGCTTCAGCTTCCCCGAAAGCTCAGAAGTGCACAGCAATGAGCAGCACTGAGCAGCACTGAGCAGCACTGAGCAAACAGTAAGTGCGCTGATGTCATAGTGTCCGCAAAGTCAGACCTGGGGACTCTGCTGAGTAAACAGGCGATGTAGGAGTTCAGGACAAAGGCCTGGATCAACAAAGAGAGCAACCATTTCCCCTCCCTGCTTCTGTGAGTTCAGGGTGAATTCTGCGGTTGGCAGTGAGCTGCATGCACTGCAGTTTGTACTTAAAGACAGAGACCTGTGTGCCTCCGTCTGTTTACTATATGTTTCTGACGCCTGATTGTTGTGACGTGTTATAATTCAGTTATTCAGCTTGTCTGCTATGGAGTCGCTTTTGTCCTGCCAATACAGCAATTCCATTCGCTGGCCAGGCAGAAAAAAAGCATGTGACTAATTTACACCAAGTGTCCTTCTGTCATTCCTTTGCATAAATCACGTGAGGGGGGTTTTCTTTGTGCTCCTAGCTGGCTACAAATTTAGCCATATGTTTTGTGTTTTATTGCTAATATACTGTAATATTATGTGATAATGATTATATCATGCAAACATTATAATAGTTTGCAATTAGATACCAATAGTTATCAAATCCAAATGCAACATGTATGAATTAGTTTTTAATGATGCCATTTATTATATTCAAATTTATACAGTAAATATACATACCTGTAATAAAATAGTGATGATACAACAGCAAAGAATAAACTAGAGTCTCATTATCCCCCTCTTCTCGATGAGCGGAAACGCTCAGCTGCATTCTGAGGTTATCTTGATCTCTAACATTGGTATTCAGTTATACTCCCCATTTATGGGTGACGTAGAGCGATATGTAGTAAGACCGACAAGCAGCTTCAGGCCTGTTTCAGGCATCATGGGAGAGCAGGAGCCGCTTGTCCCCAGTCACCGACGCTCCCCAGCTGAGAGCCATTTCAGGTCCTTAAGCTCCAGCAGCCTGTGAAGGCCGGAAACAGCAGCCTTCTTCTTCTTCTCCTCTTCCCCTTCTCCTCATCTTATTCTTCTTGTTGAACCTGAAAGATTATGAGGTCATACAGACATCTGGGCCAGAAAACTTGCACAAGCTGTTTCCGTCGTCTTCCTGAGAACCCCCCAGGGCCAAACTGAGCCCAGAGCAGGCCATGGGACACGTCATGGGAAAAGGCCCAACAGCTCACTAATTACTGTCAGAGAATGCCATCCGTCAAAGAAAGTTGTGTTTTTTCTTTCTCATGGGATTTTTGCTGCCAGTATACAGCAGCACCAATATAAGTGACATCATGCAATTGAAGGATATCGGCAAGAGTAATCAGTGATTTATTAAGGGGACCCATTTGTACATCCTTATCAATCACTACCATTCTGTGACTGCTGTGGATTTGGATCCAAGCTCACTCTCCCTCTGCTAGACATCCCTTATCTGATTCTGTATCTAAACGGGTTCTAGTTAAAGTCATAAGACTGGACATCACTGACCTTTAACCACTGTCTGTCAGCCGCAGAGTGGGGGCTGAAATCCTGCCTCTCTGTCGCTGAAATGGCATCTGTGTGTGTGTTTGGATTATGTTTATATTACATTGTGGGGACCAAATGTCATTTTGTCGTTGCCATTTTTCAGCTCATCACAAAGATCTGAGAATCCAATAAAAAAAGTAAAAATGCCAAAAGTCTCATATTTTGTTTGGTTACTTATGGTTAAGGTTAGGGCTGGGTAGGGGTTAAGGTCGTCATGTTGTGCTTAGAGTTTTCCCCAGAGAAATGAATGGAGAGTCCCCACAAATATATAATTACAAACCTATGTGTGTGTGTGTGTGTCTGTGTGTGTGTGTACGTGCATGCGTGAATGTGTGTGTGTGTGTGCCCTCTGTTTCCTGGGATAGGCTCCTGGTGGCTCTCTGAGATCCTGGAATGTGGTTGGACGATCTGTGGAATATTAAACGCTGAAACCTTATCATCCTTAATTATAGTGGGCTGTAATAAAACTCATAATGAAATGAAATACGTATTACACTGAAAAAGTCCAAAGAATCCCATTTGTTAGAAACAGCACAGGCAGAAATCAATGCCCTTTACTTCAGGTGTGACTCTCTAGAGTCCTGTTTCCCAACCCAGTCCCATGGACCCACAGATAGTCCACATTTTTTCACCCTCCCAGCTCCGGCCAGACAGTCCATGTTTTTGAGCAAAAAGGCCTTTTTGCTGACTTTCCCTCATTGTCTCCTTCAGTCATCCACCTTTTTGCTGACTTTCCCTCATTGTCTCCATCAGTCATCCACCTTTTTGCTGACTTTCCCCTCATTGTTTTGTTCATTCCCCAAATTGTGCAGTCCTCTCCTCCACCTCTCCTCCCCATCACATCTTTCCATTGATTCTATTTCCAGCTGTTCAGCAGATGGTTGGAATAGCTCATGCATTATATCTTCTGTTGCCATTTCTTGAAGACGTCTTTGCTGCAGGTAAAATCCTGGTTTAGTTCCTCCTGTAAATAGAATCTCTCCAATTCCCCAAAAAACAAGTTTATATCTCTCTTGAGGTGTCTTTGCATATGGCAATATCTCTCTATTCTTACGCTGTAATACACATCACCACTGATCACATGCAGTCTCCAAAGATATTTCTCTCTGCAACATTATTCAATCCAGTTTGTATCCCTTGCACTCTTCATGCAGGAGATTCCAGCTAAAATAATTCACAACGAAGCTGTTTGTTTCGTCTTCAGCATTTTAATGTTGAAGTCAGATAGCTCTTTTTGACGGACCTCAAAATGACACAGTTAATTAAAATAGTTTTTATTCATCCAAAAGAGACTGTATCACACACAATCTGAACAGAAATCTGGTCCTTGGTTTCATAGAAAATCACCAACAAACTATTTTGATACAGTCTCTACTGGAAGTCAGTATTGCAGTCTCAGTATCAATTGCAATAAAGTGTTTGAAGTGAACGATGACTCTTGGTAGGGTTCCCAAAAATTACAATAAACTAACAAGGCATAACATTTCTTGGGGGGGGGGACTTCTGCCTTATTGTGGGGTCCAGAACCATTCTGAACCCTCTTACTATCAACTATGATCATTGCACATCACATGGGATTTGCCGTTCAGACCCCCTTTATTATGAGCTGTGATCATTGCACATCACATGGGCTTTACCATTCAGACCCCCTTTATTATGAGCTGTGATCATTGCACATCACATTGTCTTCAGCCTGTCCAGCTTTTGAAAACAACATTCCACTTATAGAAAAAAGGACTTGATCATTTAAATCTACTATTTGTTGTCCCACCAATTTTTTTTTTATTTACTTATTTGCTGTGAAAGTGTCTGGTCTAAATATTGAGGAAATTCAATTAGAGAATTGTGTGATCCACATTCCAGGGAATTAATTAATGGAAGGGTTTTAACATAAAGATTAAGCATTATTTTCTGTAGATTCATTGTACAATAGCTATAAAAATATCACATTTTGGTGGAATTCCCTTTTAAGAATCAAATATTTTCCCACTGGCCATTTGTCCCATTTACGATTAGAAGTGTCGACACGGTTTCCTTTCTGAAAAGATGGTATTCCAGAAAAATAGCCTGGGCTGGGATTTTGTAATTGCCAGTTTTGGAAATTTTCCCAGCATAGCCAGTGAGGAATGCAGTCACTAACCTACTGTAGTAATCACCTTCAGCTTGTGTTGCGATTAACATCTGAGCACAAGCACCACAGCAGCTGTGACGATGACAGAAGGACAGAATAAACTCACGTCTCAGTTCTGAGCCCGGGGATCATAAAATTATATGGTTTTTAACTCAAGTCAACTGTAGCAGCCGGCCTGAGTGACGGTGACTTTGATGACAGGTTGCACACATCACTACAGTATATGGTATATAAAGAACTCACAGGTTTATACAAGTCTATCATATTGATACCTTCCAGCTGTTCTTAAAGCAGAAATGTTTCATCTCTCAAATTCTAATAGCTGGTAAGTTTTACCTGTTGTAGCACAAACATTTCATGTCATGTCAGCCTTACACATGATTCTGACACCACAAAAATGAAAAAAAGTAATTCTGTTGGCATTTAAACTTGTACACATCATGCAATTTAAGTTAATACATTGATTGCAGGAAATGATACTGGTACTGATATTAATACAAATACCAATAAGATCATTTATTTTTATACATGGAGCACAGCGACTCTACATGCCTCAGTAATGTATGAAATTCCGATCCTTCTTACTCTAAGCATTATTGCCCAAGGTTGTAATTAATTGTTGGGCTGGCCTGTTTTGTATTGTGAGACACTGATCCTCGGTCACAGTGTTAAATATGGAAACAGGACCTTTCTCTCTCCCCTTTCCATTTTTTTTTTTAAAAAACATTGCAGTCCAAAAAAGGAGTGGCGGGCAGCCTCAGTGCAGTCCGAGCCATTCCTTAGAAAGTCTTTGAATAGGTGGTTAGGTTGAGCCTGTGTGTGGGAGTGTGTGTGGGGGGGGGGGCGGGGGTCCCTGAGTGATGCAGGCAGTATGGAGAGTGGAAGGAGGGGGCTCCGGGACTATGATTGTCTCTAAAACCTCCAGTCAATTTTTTTAGGAGTTTAAATTATTGACGGCTGTCCTGGTCTGCATCTCCCTCTCTCTTACCCTCTCTGTCGCTCTGCCTCCTTCTCTGCCTCTCTTTCTGTGCTCCTGTCCACTCTGACTTATTCCTTGTACCCAGAACCAGCACCCCCTCTTCCCTGAAGGCACTGCCTCGCTCCTTCCACCACATCTTCCAGTAGCTTTTTCATTTTCCTCACCTTTCCTCACCCGGTAAAACCTTCCCGGCTCCCACAGCCAAAATGGAAGCCATCAAGAAGAAGATGCAAATGCTGAAACTGGACAAGGAGAATGCCATCGACCGAGCTGAGCAAGCAGAGACGGACAAGAAGGCAGCGGAGGACAAATGCAAGCAGGTGAGGTGTGGAGGGTAGGGGGCCCGGGTATGGAGCTGACCCCACACTGGGAGCAATGGGGATCTCCTATGGGATGCAGATTTCCCAGCATCACAACCAGAATGTGCAGCACTCTAAGAGCCATGCAGATACAGTGATTCATGCTGGCAGTATTACATCATCGTCTGACTGGAAGACAGCGGTGATCTCACAACAAAGGTCTCATGAAACGTTTAAACCCCTCGGCTGAAAGCAACAGCCTGAATGCCTGAGTTTGTAGGACGTATCTGAGTCACTCTGAGGCAGCTTCTGCGCTCCAGGCAGCTGAATAGATTGGAGGTTGCAATTGTTAAAACCATGAGCTTCTCTGACGGTAAAATATCAGATCCAGGGACACAAGAAATATCTCAGTATCGTATATTACAAATGGTTATTTGTTTTAGCTTCTACATGGACAATGAATTACATTATTGCTTATTTATTTCTGGTTGTTTAGTTAATATTTTCGTATATTAAAAAATAAAAAGAAATACTGCACATATCCAATATAACATTCCTTTGTGCATTGATACTGACAAATGTTAACTGGTTCATTATGTTCTTTTCCTGAACTTCGTAATATTAATCTTTATTAGTACAACATCTGAAACATGAATATCAGAAACTGTAGCAAAAGTTTTAATTAGGTGACTTTTGTTTCATTTTATGGTCACATGTTCTTCTCAGCAGCCAGTCCTACCAAACTGAAGAATTGATTTTTGTTGTATACAATACCATGACATCGCCAATGCCATCCGAAAGTAAACACTGTTAGATAAGGAAACTGTGTCTTAAAATACAAATGAGATAAGATTCTCTTCTGTCTAAAGTCCTTGAAGACAGAAAGTAAACGTCCCCTTCCCAATGCAGTTAAGGCTCTTTTCTATCTAGAATAACAATCTATGTTGATGTCTAGAAAAGTAGCAACTGTCCTGCCAAAAAATATCGGGTTACTTGCTGAAACATAACTAGTATAAGAATACTTGCACTGTAAGAAATACTTGGAATAACTAATTGTAGAAGTCAGCCCTGATGTTTAGGTTCACCCATGTTTGATCTCAAGCATGAAGAAGCAAGGAGGTGAGGTAGACTTGCGGGGGGTGTCCAGTGTGCCGAGAAGGGCTGTGAGTATAAGGGGATCCAGCCACACAATGAGTGCCTACAGCACCCAGGACTGGGCAGTGGCTTTTGTCTTCGACACTCAGCAACATCACTGGTATTCTTAGCCATCGGGTGATAGTCTGCCTGGAATTCAAAGGAATTATCGGGGACTTGCGTTGATGGCACCAAAAACACAGAATGACGAAAGATATTATCTCCTGTACTTTCAAGGGTGTGAGGTCAGCAGCACACTGAGGGAAGCTTGTCTGGACTAAAAATACATTGAGCAATCAACACTGAGCAATCAACACTGAGCAATCAAAACTCTGACGGCGAGATTGCAGAGACGATCCTGTCCAGCACTGCATGCTTAGCATAACTATGTGCAGCCATGAAGTCTAAGCAGCTTTACAAGTTCAATAGACTCTCACTCATCTGGGTGAAAGTACCGGTAGTTGCCTTTTTAATTTACAATTTTGAAAGTGTGCTTTAGCATGGGACAGCTCCCGCGTCGACACTGAAGAGTGGTTTCCATTACCTCCTTGAGCCTGGAACAACACAGCACATGAATACATCTAATCTATGGAAATAAATGTGTCGTGCAATACTGTGCCCCATAAATCTCCGTTTGTAGTACAGAGCTTGGACAATTTTATATTAAATCTGTCTTACTATGAGAACCTGATTTCAGAGATCAACACATCATTAAAAATCCTAAAATCATTCATACAGTACCTGTGAGAGGTGATTAATACAGGAAGAACTTTCCAGTTTAAACAAAGCATAATGCTAAATAACTGCTCTCTGTAAGGGTTCTCATTAGTCTTTGTTATGCCAGTGCAATTTCTGCTGATAAACTACTAAATTGTGATTGTGATTAAGGATCAAGTTACAGGGTAACATTCCATACTGGCACAGCCTGACAGTGACATTATAAACGTAGCTAAACTCAGCAATAAGAGTAACCCTAAACAATGCCAACTATTTAAACAAAGTCTCATAAATTCAGCTGTGTTTTTCTGTGCAGAATCTTTAACTGATATTAGGTTAAGTATTTATCTCAGTCACGCACGCCTATCTATGTGCTTACTTTACAGATAGATATTCTCACTAAAGCCCCGTGATAGCTATTGTTTAATTGTTGCTTAACTATCACATTGATTATCAAACAGTCTGAAAACTTTTACAAAACATTTTAATTCCCATGTTGTCTGACTTTTGAGGTGGACATTGTGGCTTTTAGCTTGGTGCGTGCTCTCTGGGACAAACACTCACCACTGTCCACCTTTCCGTCTGATACGTCTCCAGTTGGAGGAGGAGCTGCTTGGCCTGCAGAAGAAGCTGAAGGGCACCGAGGACGAGCTGGACAAGTACTCCGAAGCCTTGAAAGACGCCCAGGAGAAGCTGGAACTGTCGGAGAAGAAAGCTGCAGATGTAAGTTTGGAGTCACACGTATACAGCATAATCTAGTGTGCAGATATGTCAAACACACACCAGCCGGGAATTTTTTCTAAGCAAAAAACAGTTACTATGTTTATCCATTTAATAATTAATAAAATTAATCAGAAATACTTTTAAATCCACGTCCGCTTTGTTGTTCTTTTCTTCTCGTCCAATACCTCCCAAACCTGTTCCCTTGCCAAACATCCACAGCCACGCAGGGGTGGTTTGTTTGACGGTTTAATGAGAGGCCTCTTAGAGGAAAAAACAGCAGGCTGCTGGAACTATTGCTGAGGGTGATGAGGGAGTTTATCCCACTGGGGTACTTATCCCACTGGGGGGTATTTATCCCACTGGGTGTACCTGTCCCACTAAGGGTACTCATCCCACTGGGGGTACTTATCCCACTAAGGATATTTATCCCACTGGGGGTATTAATGCCACGGAGGGGTACTTATCCCACTGGGGGTACTTATCCCACTGGGGGTACTTATCCCACTGCAGGTATTTCTTCCATAGTGGGTATTTATCCCACTGCACTAACTAAAACAGAAGCTGACACTGTAATTCAATCTGTGTGATACTGGCAACTGTAGATAAGCCTTAAATAATAATTAAGCATTAAAGATTAACTGTGGTAACTCTATTTCCCTATGGAGGCCCTCACCTAACATCTGACTAAAATCATTCCTGGGGTCCTCCCTGTGCGGGGTGTATCTCAGCGGCGTGGGCCGGGCTCCATCCAGACCTGACTGGATAAGGGCCTGTAACATGTGTAGATGGAACTGCCGAGGTCAGGCAGACCCCAGTAGCTCTTACTGGAAGAAAGGTACCATCTTATTACGGACCATTATTGCCAATTGTGCTGCTTTTATGCTACTTATTTTATCTTATATAAAAAATAAATATAGAATTAAATATCATTTACAGTCCATAATACTAAGAAAAAACACATGTAATTCATTGAAACCGGACACTCACAACAACATGCTTTATTTGCCATTTGTACATGAACAGTTAGACTAGAATGGTTCTTCCTGCTGCCCCCATTTTGCTCTCCATAGTTTGGTGGGGGTCACAGCGCAGGGTCAGCTACCATACAGCAGCCCTGCAGCTGGGGCTTATGGGCCTAACTCACGGGCCCACAGCCAGACAGCTGTGCTGCTGAGGCTCGAACTGACAACCTTCCGATCACAGGCTCAGAGACGCAGCGCATAGGGTCACTCACCGTCGCATGACGACATCGCATTCAGAATGCAACTCAGGCCAAAATATCACCAACATCACTTCATATTTTACACAAACTGTGTTTGACAAAATTATAGCTTCCTCTGGCACAATCCACGTTAAATAGACATTGCCAATCTAACAAGAAAGAGGAATACTTAATATCTACAATGCAAATCAGATACAATGAGTCATTATTTATAAAAGTATGCAGGTAAACTGCAGCTTGACTTGACTAAGCACCAAGTAGACAGATGAGTATCAAAGAAAAATGTCTAAGTTGCACAAAGGAGCCCATAATATTGTTTGCTATTATGTGGAATCAAACAGAAAATAAATATTTGGTTTATATAACTAATATTGAATGGTGTGTGAGTGTGCCCTGCGATGGGTTGGCGCCCCATCCTGGGTTGTTTCCTGCATTGTGCCCATAGGCTCTGGGATAGGCTCCCCCCGCAACCCTGAATAAGACAATCGAGTACAGAAAACTGATGGATGGAAAACTAATATTATTATTCTATGATATTTTTTTTAATGGTGGTAACCACGACTGAGCAACAGTAAGGGCGATTTCCGTACTTTCTCTTAACTTGCATTAATGTTCAAGTACCAGTACCAAAAGTTCCAGTACCTAAAGTACCAAACCAGCTGGGGTAGTTTTTCGTTCAGCTAAAGGAAGAGCTAAATGTGACGACGCTTTGCTCCGTTTTGCACTGCCAGTATGAGCTGGCGAGCGGAAGGTACGCCGCAGTTACTGATAAGCCAGCAGAGTCACGGGGACCGGGCTGCGCTCCGCTAGGCAACGCGGCCGGCAGGAATGCCAGGAATGCCGCCAAGGCAAACAGCGACCAGCGGCCCTGTCTTTTTATGGACTTCTGGTACTTTTCCTGTAGCTGAGCGGGGAGTACGATTTACACCAAGATGCATCCCGAAATATCCAACCCACTATAAAGAAACTTGCATATGGTTTATCTGTTCCCCTCTATAACAACAACACGTAGCCTATGGCTTTGCACCTTTTGTTATAAAGGGTGTATTGGATCCCTTTATGTAAAGACCATTGAGTCGCACTTCAAAGGGAGTTTTAATAAATTCAGGTATACACAATGAAGTAAATTCCAACAAACACTTTTCCCAAAGAATTTCTCTCTAGACAACATGGGCACTTTGTGTTTAGAAAAGTCCAGTCTGCATTAACTACCCCTGTAACAACCACATCCATCATTTCTACGCAGAAGCTCTAAGGGCAGCAGTTTACCATATCAAAATTTAACGAGTAATTCAGCACATCTCTAATATAAAAAGATCGAACGTCATTGAGCAAACGGTATTCAATTCCTGTTGATCCCGCAAAGGCCACAGCAGCGGACAGCGATGAGTGAAATACTTATAAGTCACATCCTGTTTCATTAAACTGTACTCGGCCCCTCATTCAGTATCTGCGTCGCCCGAGCGAGCCCCGCCTCCGGGGCCGTGACGTCACCGGGATCGCGGCTCTTCCCAGCTTTGTGCGATTTAGCCGTAACTTTTCAGGACAATCCCGTTTTTTAATCTTCCCGTTCCCTCTTGGAGCACATCGTCTTTTTAACGCCTCGATACTTCATTCCAAAGACCAAATGACCCTGTGAATGTAGCTATTGAAAGACATCTTTTTGTAGTTGAAGACCGATTTTTAAGAACAGGCTTAGAAAACTATTTGCACCTCCCAAAGAAGTTATAATTTTTCCAATTGTGTATAGCCTACTATTTAATTTTTTTTTCACTTTTATACTATTGAAGTATATTTCTATTTTTTATATATATATAAAGTTTAGCATATATTTAGATTATTTCCATTTTATTTATAACGATGGCAGGTTTAAATTCTTTGGATGCTGTAAAAAGAAAAATCCAAACTTTGCAACAACAAGCCGACGATGCAGAAGACCGTGCCCAGGTTTTACAAAGAGATTTGGACAGTGAACGGGAACTTCGCGAGAAAGTGAGAAATATACTTCTTCTCTCCCTCATTTCTTGCTGTTGTCTTTCTTTCGTCATGAACTATCATAGAATTGCTATTTATGACTCATTTATAAGAAGTAGATTTACAGAATGATCCCAAGACGACAGGGGCAATTCGGAAGGCGTTGGTCTAGACCAAAAAGAAGTACAATTTTGAAACATTGTGTCTTCTTAGCAATAGGCTACCATGCAATGTAACATTTATCGCTCTATGTATTATGCTCATTATCTTCTATTGTTATAATATGCATTGTTTACGCGGTTACATACGGAAATGAACGCGGATATAATATGGAATCCATATCAATTTGTGTTGCAGGCTATTTTTACTTGATCACCTGGACAGTGAGCTGGACAGTTGTTGGTGCTTGAATGCATCAGCAAGAATATTTCTCTTCCTTAAGTAGTGAATACATGTTCTTTTATTGCATTTAATTTAAACCATGTGTTTTACATAGAGTGAATACCCCATTCAACATTTTAGGTAAATTATGAAACGGTCTAGTTAAATGTTTAAGTTCTATACAATTATGAACAGTCATGCACAAGTAATTACTTACTTTCTGACATCTTGAGTAAAATTGCTAACATTTAAAAAAAAAAAAAAAAAAAAGAGCCCGCGATCAGCCCACGAGCTCACGATTCAGTTTCTCAGTTATTTTCCATATTGTAGAATCCTCTATGACGTAGTTTCCATGGTGTCGCATTATGATTGCTGTATTTCAGATCACGAGTACATCTCCTTTCTTGTTTTACTCCCTGAAAGGGAAAAAGTCCGCTCATGGGCACAGTATTTCCGAGCGGTACAAAATGTTGGGTTGCAGCCACTGTTTTTGGCTGGATGTTGACTGGCTGCTGCCGGTGTCGCGATGTACTGTGCGATTTGCTTAACCCGGCAAAATGATAGCCCAGAATGCCCCTGCTGAAGCCGCTTTCCTGGCGGATTATATGGCTCCGGAATGGGGGCCCACTGTGGAGGAATGTGGCCCACCTTTAAGGTGAAGTTTCATGATCAGTAATGCAGAGATGAGTTTGGGCCTGCTGCAGGTTCAGTGTAACGGTCCAGTCTACATATTGTGCTATAAGGTTTTTTGCTGTTGTAAACCACTGAGATCTAAAGCAGCAGCTCTGTAGCTCTGTACTTCTAGGGAACTGTGATGAATTATGCCTCAAAGGTCACTGTGTTTAGTGGCTGAGGTGTGTAATCTGAAGTACCTCTAATTACTTGAAACCATTAATTAGACCAGGTTAAATGGGGATTTCCCATCGGCGTAACCTTTAGCAACTCAAAAAAGTGTGAGCAGGAAGAGTTGTCTTGCAGATTAACATGTGCAATTGAACATGAAACAAAATATTCCTCGTGTCTTTACTGAGGAGATCCTCCTGTCAATCTGAATAGAAAACTGATATATTTTGAATATTAAATTGACATAGATTTTGAAAATTCTAAGCAAAGTAAAATGTATGTACTTTTTATATAGTTAATTATATAGACTCCTCTTTACTTAACCCTATACAAGGCATTTCTTGGAAGGGGCGTTACCTAAAAAGTGCCCTAGTTTTGCAGCATTTGGGATCCTCCTCATTTCAGGAAGTCCTCCAGGATGCTGACTGCATTCCCTGCTGCACTTCCTGTAGTCTGCTGTAGCCCAGATGATTGCTGAGATAAGTGCTGTTAACCAGTTATGGCTGTAGGAGCTGTGAAGCTGTGAAGCTGTGTCCTGTTCTTGCCTGAATGCCAGTGACGAATGCCATCACTTTGGTGAGGTGAGAACCCTTTAATACAGTTCCAATCTTCAAAAACCCAGTTCGAAGCTTAATCATGAGAAAATCCAGTCAAATTTTCATGTTGAAACCGATTACCTGCAGTTCTCTATAAAATATTTCTGGGTCCTTATTCTCAGAATACTTAGCTGCCTGTGGATCCGAGCTCAGCAGAAGTTTGAGGATCTTTGTGTTCTGCGCTCTCCATTCCATAAACAGATCTTATATGAGATCCTTTAAAATACAGAGCATAGAAATTTTACAGAGAATCTTTTATGAATAAATAATGCAACAGCAACACTCAGTATGGTTTATAAATTCACCAGTAGATGATCTGGAAAGTATGCAGTGAGTCAATGGATTCCAGATGGCTGTTGTGTATGGCTCATAGTGTGAGCCATGTTATCCTGTGCAAAAGTGAAGTTTCCCTCCTTGTTAATCCCCTCTAGGATAGATTATATGTGGTACTCCACAAGATCTAGTTTCTCTACAGGCACTGGATTTTTTTTCTGCTGTCAGACATAAGAGTGTTGCCCCCAAGAGGATACTAGAAAATAAAAAATTGGCGGAATGTCGGTGGATGAACTGTATAGGATGAACACAGTTTTCCATACGTTTTGGAGCCCCACGTAGAATGCTGTGCATCATGGGAAATTTCTTTAAGAAAAATAAATGATGCAATACTGCTCTGGGAATATATCCTTTCTTAGAAGGACCTGAGTAGTGGACTGGAATTGTCTGTTTGATGTGAATTATGAGTGCCATGACCTGCTAGTATGTTTGCTGGGAATTATGGAACCCAGCTGGGTAAGGACTGTTAGCGAAATGCTGATAGTAACTCGTCTTGTTTGGGCTTCTACTCTAGAAATACCCTGAGCGCTGTTTCTTGAATATCTGTGGATGTGTTTGGTGGATGGAATATAGCGGCAATTGCTGTGTGTACACCCCTCACTGCACACCCCTCACTGCTCACCCCTCACTGCACACCCCTCACTGTACACCCCTCACTGCACACCCCTCACTGCACACACCTCACTGCTCACCCCTCACTGTACACCCCTCACTGTACATCCCCCTACCATTTGTATTCCCTGTATTACAAGATTACAAATGGGACATGTGATATACAATAAGACACCTTTTCCTTCCTGATCTCGGCTGTCTGCTTCACACATTCACTGGCCTCATATCATGAGAGGACGGGCAGCTTATTAAGTCCACAGATACACAGGCAGCAGTCTCATGCTTCTCATTAAACCACCATGCCCAATTAATGCAGCAATTAAATTCCTCTCTCAGCTTCACTGCCCCATTAAAACTGACATGCTGCATTAGTGACCTAAGCAATAGCATTCTCAGAATTCTCTAGAAGGCCTACATGCAAGTTTTTTGTTGCTAGACATTCACGTAAATGTGGCCTGTTGAAGGGCCTTTTTCAGTGATAATGTATCCCAGAGATAAATTTCCCAGAACCTCCTTAAAGTAAAGCTGTATTTGCAGTGGACTGCAGTAGCCCTGTCCACCTAGACCCGCCAAGAGATTGTAGCTAGACTGCGCCGGACATAGCAGACATCAGTCTTCAGTCAGTCCGGAAATGCTGACGTCACAAAATTAAATCTGTTGTTCAAGGATCGAGATTCAGGGTTATTTTTGTTTACATGGACATAATACAACGAAACTTTTACATGCATCCTTCATGCATATCATTGTGCCAAATAAATAAACTAAATACAGTTTGGACAACAAACAATAAATAACAGCAAATAACATCACTGATTAGCCCGTATGCACGGCGACCAACCTCAAACATACAGCGAATGCTGCCTTTTCCTGTTGGTGTTAAACTGTAAGGAATGCAGCATCTCTTTTAATGATGTCATTAATATTGATGCCTTTTTACAGCTTAGTGTGGCTACTGAGGGGGTCCTGAGGGAATTCCCTTGTGTGGCTTTTACCATATAAGGCTTGTGTGTAAGGCCACCGTAGGATGTGGAGGAAGGGGGCGTGGCCCCAGACGGCATGCTCTGCGGGAAAGGGGGGGGGGGGGCAGAGGATGTGACGGGCGATTTCCTCTCTCTCATTTTCCTGCCTTTTTTTGAACGCCAGTCATTACATGCAACTGAATTATCAAACCCTGTCTTTAACTCGTACTTTATTAATCTTTGACAATTAAATTTTATTGAGGCATTGTTCCAAATCCTCATAATGATGAATGATATGATCAGTCAGTTCAGGAATTTTAACTAAAGACATAAAGTGATGCATGTAAAAACGCATAGAGCTTTAAGTGCAGGGAATTCAGATTCTAACTTTGTCAGCGTTAGTACTCAGCTTTGCTTTATCATTTCACGATTATGTTCCTTTGTCTGTGTCAGTTAAATGTAATGGCTTCAGTCCATTATTTGTTCTGGAAATTCAGTCACAGAACACAAAACCCTGAATTCGTGAGATTTTGCATCCACCAGTTATTATGTCAACTGCAATAAGACTCGCTGACAGATCGCATGTAATCTCTAGTTATAGTTGTTTAGTTTATTATATGTAAGACTATGTAAGGACTATGTAAACTGTTCCCCTGGGGATTTCGCAATGTCTTAGAAAAGTCCAGTTTGTAGTAACTACCCCTGTAACAAGCAGACACACCCATCATCATTTCTAAGCAGACACTTTCAGGGCTACAGAGCACCCCATCCCCCCCCGCTACTCACACAGAGCCCCCCCCCTCATGATACTCATTATCTCTGGTTCGTCTTCTGTCTCCTAGATTTGCCTGAGGCCACCTGTTACCAACTTTGTCATTAGGCAACTTGCCTGGCAGTACGTGTGAGAAGGTGACGGGTGTGGCAGCCCTTTGTCAGAGTCTTTTTATCCTCATTACTAGACATTATTGTCACCACCGGAGAATTTCTGTATGCGTAACTTGACTTGAGCAAGTCCATCTGGCAGCGTGGTGGATTTGTACAGTAAATCAACCCCTGGGCCCCGTGAGTCTGTCTGCTCATTGTTTATACATTCTGCCTGTGGGGTGATGGAATCATTCAGGGAGGAGTCTTTTCCTGTTTTACAGAATAGTGTTTTATTGAATGTTCTGTATCATCCTGTGCTGCACAAGCAACATCTTCTCAGAGAATTAATGGGGGGAACGTGCACTCTAAAATGTTCCCTGTCAGGAACATGAGACAGGGTAGAGGCACAGGGACATGAGACAGGGTAGAGGCACAGGGACATGAGACAGGGTAGAGGCACAGGG